GCCCTTTATTTCTTCTCATTCTTTTACCTGTAGAAAGGGCCACTGCATGCCGCTCCCCCTCAAATTCTAGTCTGTGTCCACATCTGACTTCTTCATATAACATCAACAAAATAAAAATACCTTGCCTGTCTGCTACTTCTTGAGCTTTGTTCTTGAAATAAATATTTGAATTTTATCATTTCATTTATTTGACTTTGGGCAAAATAGCTGACCTCCATTTGCTTTATCTCCTATAAAATGGGTGTAATAATATTGCCTAAGTCAAAAATGTGAGAATTCAATATGGATATTTGTACAACAGCTTAGCAGAAGCTGGTACCTGGTAAACATTATGTGAGTGTAGGCTACATCTATGTGTTTTCAACTTTCTTGGTTTTCTTTGACTGTTTCTAATATTACTGGAAAGCCTATTTGTCTCTATTGCTCACTAGTAGAGATTTTCTTTTCAAGTGAGTTTATTAAAGAATATTTAAGGTGGTCAGCTTTCTGAAAAAACTAAGCAAGTTTTTCATGTATTTTCACAGGTGTGATATTAATAGTGACATACTTTAAAATTCCTTTATAAAGTTAGATTTCATTTGCTAGCAAGGGAAAGGTATTTGTCGAGAAGCCGTAAGACTGGGAAAGCGTGGGGAATGTCACTGTTTGTGGGTCCTCAACTGTGTGTTACAATTGCAAGTCTCAATTCAAACTCAGCGTGTAACAAAAATAGGGCTTATTTACAAGGGGGAAATTGTGAGCGATATTAAAAAGAGGAAAACATTTCCAAGGCCACCTGTGCTACCCCAGCATCTGCAATGTCCAATAGTCCAAATCTTTAAAAGCTGCTCATGAAATATGGTCTTGTGCCTCTGATGAGCATCTGGAGCTAGTGGCACATCGGGACCCAACTCACGGTGGCAGCTGGAGGCAATCACAGGTGGCGCTGCTGAGGCGGCACTGCAGAAGACAGCAGCGGACCAGAGGCCGTGCTGGGCAGTGCCAGAGGCAGCAGCAACAGGAGACAGCTCTGGAGGTGGCGCGGGCACAGGCCAGTGGCAGACAGCTCTCAGAGGTGTCAGGCACAAGCCAGCAGTGCCTGTCAGGAGGTGGTGCTGGTAGTGCTGGAGGCAGGCACCAGCAGCCAGGAGGCTGCGCTGGTGGTGGCCTGGGCAGGAGTGGTAATTGATGATCCCAGGGATGAGTCAGAGATCAGAAATGAAGCCTTCCAAGGTGAGAGTCCCAGGGGCATGTGTGAGGTCTGGAGCGCAGGTCTTTCCAGGCAAGTGCTGACTCCTTCCGCTGGCCCCCCTTTTATGACTTTCAGGGTCCCTCTGCCCTCCCTTTGCTCCCTACAGCGGAGTGGATATCAAAGCCCATAGGTGTTTTTCAAAACTGGCTGGGGTTTCAAAACCCAAATGGCACATGTGGTGGGTGGGGGGTGGTGGCAGGGGGCGGTTTGCAGCCGAGCCTGGCACGCTCCACTGCACCACCGAAACGGGAGCCCAGAACTGCTCTTCCAACATCCTAAGGGGTCTGTTATTGGTGTGCGAGAGCTGGCGTGGCTCGACAATATTCGGGAACTTTTGTGGCTTGAAATTGACCATTGGATGAGGATTTATACCACGGAAATCAGGTAAATCCACAAATTAGAGCCCATTTACTTGCATATCACTGAATAATTTTGCTGAAGACCAGGAACATTTTGAAGGTTGGTGTAGTGACAAACATTCTTACTGTGAATTTTAATACATCATGGGGTAGATTGTGCCTGCAAGATTAACAGCTGTTATATCGCCCAGAAGGCAGTACAATAGCTTCCCTGTGACCTGGGTGTTGGTGCCATCATTTAGCATCAGAGGAGGGGGCTTTGCTGTGTTGTTCTCATGCCTGTGTATGTTTATCTGTGCTTCTGAGTGATTAATGGCCGATTGCTTTTTTTTTTAACCCACTGAAAAGTAGAAGAAAAGTAGTCTTATTTGATATAAAGGAAATGTAAACTGACAAAAACATTTCCTCCAAATTTTAGGACCCAGTTAGGGGAAATTCTGATTTGAGAGTAAGTGGTGTTGCAGAGAGCATTCCCAGCCCAGTGGGAAGGAAATATCTTACTAGAGGTCGGGATATTTGTTATGAGAAAATTACCTTATTAGGCTTAGAGCATTTGTTAGCATAACAAGTTCTAATTCCCCTATTGAAAAACTATCTTATAAAATGCTCAACTGGTTGCTTGGGTTTTTTTTTTCACTCACCTAGTGAAAAAACCACATGTGAGATCGTTTTGAAACTGACTCGTTCACGGCTCCCACTTCCTGTTGTGACGAGTGAAATGTATTTCAAAGTCACCGAGGTTCTCAAGACTGTTTTCATTCTCTCTGGACCAGTTCAGTTTCAAATTCATCTATAACTAGTGAAACTGAAACTTCTTATAATTTGATATTTCTATAATATGCATTTTTGTTGCTGGTTGGGAGAAACCGTTTGAACAATTACCTAAATTTTATAATAATTTGTCTTAGGAGAGGTGCTGTCAGAGGAGGGTTGACTCAATAGCTAAGCTCCCTTCACCCCTTCAAGTCGGAATAAAGTCCTTTCTTGGTGTTTGGGTACGTGTTCCTTTTGCAGCGAATCCCCACTTCTCATCCAGCCTAGACACAAGACTCTAGCATAGATTCAGAGCTGGTCTTGAGCAAAACTGAGAAAAAGCTATGGTTTGCTGGGGGCTTTCCCTAGAGCTATCCCTAACATTAGGTGGTGGAGACAGCTCCGGTTTCCATGAGCGCTCATGAGGGAGGAGAGTCACTGCTTCCCACTCAGGAGGCAGCGCTGCCAAGTCTTCACAGGTCTCCCAGCTGTTGCCTTCAGCTTTCCCTCCCTCCACCCCCCTCCCTATTATCTATCTGACTAGATCGCTCTATCTCTATCTCTATAGATCTAGATATCATTTTGCATGAATTAAAGTAATTCCACCATGTTCACTAGGGCCAAAGTGCTCCAGGAATATGTCTCTGTCCACCGCCCCCTTTTCTCTCTGTCCCCCCCATTTCTTTTTTGTCTTAATTGCTTCCTTAGATTTCCAGGACCCCAGATTTCCCCCAAATTGTTTCCACTATCTCAGTTTACTTACCTTCTTTTTTTGCCTTTGGTCCCAACTCTCAAGTAAAACTTATTTATCCAAATAATACATATTTGGGCTAACATATTCTGTTAATAGGTACTAACTCAGCTTTATTGAACTCAGACAATTGGTATATCAGAAAGGCCCCAGGAGACCACTTACGGGAGGGGAGGGATTTTGGAAAAGGAGGTAGGTCTGTGTGGGACTGAGACTAGGTCTTTGACATGATTATTTGCTTAAATGTCGCATGTGATCACAATGTATCTCTCTTTGCTTAAAATTTGGGACAATTACTGCCTTTGTTATGGGCAGTAACATGAGTGATGAATTTCTTGAGGAATAAAATTTTATTACAACACTCAAAGTAAAAAATCAGCATAGGACTTCTCAGGTGATACATTTTGTAGGGCATATAATTTAAATGCATGATTTGTCACCATCTCTGCTAAAGAACATACAAGACCTAAAAAAATTATCTTGAAGTTTTGTTTATTAGATACGAAGTATTTGTTGATACCTGAATTGTATAATATTTTACATATGATCATTTAAGGTAATGTTTATAGGTTTTCAGATCATTTTCATGCACAATCTTGCTAAATATTTATGAGACCTATACGATGGGAATTATGGTAAGTGTCTTGATTTCATAAATAAACAGGCAGGTCCAAAGGTATAAAGTGGTTTTTCCCTGGGTAATAGCTACTAATTATGACAGTAATGAATTGATTACAGGTTTCTGGAATTAAAATTCTCATCCTATTTCCACTATATTATATTCCCTTTCCAGCATATAGAGCCATGTACAACAGCTATTCCATCAGTAGCTATCTTTGCAGAATCATAACCAGGTACATCTAGAATAACAAAAATGCTATGGTAAGATCGCACACCCAAGTTTTAGAACTGTTTTTCAATTGAGTACACTTTTTTTATTCAAAATTGCTACTTATTAACATAAAGGATTGAGTCATTTAAACCTGAATAAATTCAGCTTAGATATTATTGAGGAAAAATGAAACTTCTTAAATCCAAAATGTCTCTCTCTCTGCATACACGCACGCATGCACACACACACACACACACACACACGACCATTTAAAAGCATTTAAAAATATTTTTGCTAATCTGATTAAATATCTAATTAAAATATATGGTATGAAATGTGTAGTTCAGATATATTGTCTATGTCTGATTTGACTATTTGAAGAGCTAGTACATAATAAATGTTGCTAATTAGCTTATCCTCCATGAGAACTATTCAGATCCTTAAACATGGGAAAAGAAATTCAAATCCTCCTGTACATAAGAATTCCTGACAAGGAGGGTTGGCAGTTACCGAGAGCTTGCCCCTTGAGGTGGTGGAATTTCTCTCTCTGGGATATTTAACTCACGTGGCTGAAGTATTGCCCTGTGTGGTAACAGGACCATGGATTTGATAGTCTTATGGAAACCTGCAATATTTTGAGATTGCCGCTGTCTTCCAGGTTTACTTAAATAATCGCTGTTATTTAGAAACTGCAAGCAAAGAAGCCAGGTAATTTTATTCTTCTCTCACAAAAAAAAATAAAAGGTGAACTACTGTATTATTTTTAAGAACTTCACCGAGCGTTATCCTGTCGTAACTAAAGTGGCAGTGAGGGCTGCCTGTGGGTGGAAACAGGAAACATTGGTGATAAATGCTGTGTTACATATTTTTTTTCAGGTTCAGCTCAATGTCTATTGATTCTAATTAGCACATTTTGTGCCTCAGCTAGTAGCTCCCCGATAGCTCTGCTTGGAGAGTTTTTTTTTTAGATTCCATCCTGCTCATAAACACTGCCACCTCCTCCCTCCTTCTCTCTTTACAAATGTTACCACACAATCAGAAATTTCCTCTTTTCTTTCCTTCCTGCATTTCCAGCAGGTTCCTTTGCGTCAGAAGCCGAGAAAGAAAACTCAAGGTAATTAGATCCCTTTTGTTTCTTTATTCCCTTTCGTGTGCGTGAGTGTGGTTTTGTCTTGGATGCCGTGTGCGGGACCAGATTTTTGTCTGTCTTAATGTAATGTCAGGAGGTGCACGGCAGATTTTTTTTTTTTTTTTTGGTTATTTTTGGATTGATTTTAAGAAATGATGGCATGCTGCTCATTTGGATGAATCCCTCGTGGCATGTCAACAGAGCTAAAGAGAAACTGGCACAGAAGTGGCGGTGTTTCTAGGGGGGCATTAACCCTCCTGTGCCCGTTGCATAACTCCTGCTATTCTTCTGGAAGGGAGCTGTGCCCGGGGCCACCATGTGCCTGGCAGCCTGGGATTTTAATTTTTTTCAACTTCTTCTTCTTGAATAATATTCTTAGACTAACACTTGCATTGTAGCCTCACTTTCTTTGGGCAAATCTTGTCCCTTCTAAGCAGCAAATGCATGTTGGAAAAGCAAATAAAATAGATAAATAATTCCCTCTTTTTTTTTTTTTTTTGCCTTGACTTTGCATGTATTTTGCTAAAAAAAAAAAATCCAACTGCCAGGAGGTAAACAATTAAGTTACCATTCACCCCATCACATAGATCGGGTACTACTTCACCTACCTTTTCACGTAACTTGCAGGTTTTTTCACCATGAGTCGAAGGAGGATATCATGTAAAGACCTGGGACATGCTGACTGCCAAGGGTGGCTCTATAAGAAAAAGGAAAAGGGAACCTTCCTGAGCAACAAATGGAAAAAGTTCTGGGTGGTGTTGAAGGGATCGTCGCTGTATTGGTACAGCAATCAGATGGTGAGTCCACTGCCTTGCCCCGGTCGCCTTCCCGAGCTCTTTAACAAAAGGTGGGTTCAAGATCATGGTGGAGCAGGTGACCCTTATGGGAAACTTTATTTTTGTTTCTGGGACTTGGAACAGAGCGAATAAATAAGTTTGCTATCGTTTCTGGTCCAGTGGATAGGTAGGTTATTTGGCTGTGTTTTATGGAGGAGAAAACCATCCTGTTTGACCTATCTTTGGTGGGGGAGGGTGTGCAACTTTATATCCTTGCTGCAGGAGGCTCTGGGTTCCAGCACTGTTGCTGTTCCACAGGAGATTCTAATTGTTTCAGCATGTACCTGGATAGCACTTGATGTGGGAACTTGACCTTGTCATAAGGTCCCTCCTGAGAAGGGACTCCGCCTTAAGACTGATTAAGGGTGAAATGGATTCACTTCTCAAAGCTATATATATATCCACTTCTCCTTTACCACCTTCTTCCCTTTCACCTTCTGTGTTAGGCAGATGGGTTTTGGCTAACCAGTGCGCTCGACTGGTGAGGGCGTCTGATGTTTCTCGCTGCTTGACGTGTTCAGCGATGGCCTTGAACCACGGCTACTTGGACAGAGCTTGAAAATTGGCCTAATTTTATCCTTGAATATGCAGTGCAACTTTGTGGTTGGCTAGTTTTCTGTTGAGAAGGGTTAGAAATAAAGTTGTTGATTGTTAGAAGTTGTGCAGCTCTTTCGGGACTTGAAACATTTCGAAAATGCTGACGTTGTTGAACATGGAGTAGAGAAATTTCATATAAATTTAGCTCTCTCCACTCATCGTAGCCCATGGCCTGTCTCAGGAAAGCTTGAGTTTCTCTTTGGAGTGTAGTGAAGCTCAGCAATGGCTGTCCTTTAATCAATTAAGGGAATATTACTTAGAAATTGCCCACAAGGCAGAGAAATTCTTTCTTAATGTGCCACTAGTCTTTAAAAATGACTTATGAACGTCCCGTACTCAAGCAACAGAACTTTGGAGCATGTGACTTTGTGAACGTTAGAGAAGTGCTGCAGAGAGTTCGTGGGTAACATTTTTGCTTGATAAATTTACATTCAACGGCCAATAGAAAATCTGTGACCCCTCACCCCCCAGGCCTTTGTCTCATGGAGATTTGATTAAACTGGCTCCAAGGCCAATCCCAGAGCCTGGCAAGAGCTCTCTCTGTGTGTGACTTGCTCCCTCCCCCCACTGTTTGTTTCCCCCTTCATTGCTTTGGTCTCACCTCAACAAAACATGGTACAAATCTTTTCAGCATGTTCTGTAAAGTTATATTTCTTTAAGCCTTTGGTGAATTTTTTTTTTTACAAGTTTATCAAATTTAGGAAGGTCACAAGAAAGAATCACCTTGTGGCCTGTGTAGTCTTCTAGCTCTCCTCTCTCTCTCATCTTCCTTCCTGCACAATCCATCATCTAGACTAGCACAAAATACTAGACTAGACATCATCTAGACTAGCACAAAATCCGTCATCTAGACTAGCCCAAATTAAGGTATCCAGGGCTTGGATCTTACCTTCTATCCTAAGGGATTTTTTTTTAAGCAAACACAACTTTCTTCTTAAGAAGTAATAAGGTTAATAGAATTTTCTCTCTCCGGATTCATACTATTTTAGACTTGATCTAAAATAAGTGTGATAAGTGATAGTCATCTGCATCTTCGACAAACAGAAAGGACTTACTGGTTTGCCTTGGGATAGTTCTCCAGGAATTTCCAGGGGGTGCTGGAAGGCCAGGAGCTGACCCAGCATGGCGCACCTGTGGGAGAGCACTGAGCTCAGATAGAAAAATGACATTCATGTTCTCATTCAGTTACATTTTTTGGCACAGATGTTCGGGCTGTGTCCCTTCTTCATCGTAATTAAAGGCAGCCCTTCTGAAGCACTCATGTACAGATTTGGCTTATTTGTCTTCATCAGTTCATTGGGTTCCTGCTTCTTTTAGAGAGTAATGAATGGCCTGTTGTAGGTGGTGGGCATCTCATATGTCCACAGGAGCAGCAGTGCTGGCTGAGACTAGCCAGAGGAGAAGACACCTCAACACACTGTGACACCCCTGTCCTGACCCCTGCCTTGGTTTGCTCCACAATGGGCATAAGGGAAAATTCACATAGTCAAGCTTCTATTTGAATGAGTTAGATTAGCAGCATCGAATGGAGACTAAGCTTACTGCTGTCTGCCTGCGGAATTAACCTACTAACCCAATGAGGTGGAACAGAAAGACTTCCAATTGCCTAACTCTAGGACTGTGTTACAGAGGAATTCTTCTCCACACACAGATGCATATGTGTGTGCACCCCCTTGCACACACACAACCACACACACACGCAACCCCCCTCCCCCACACACAAACTGACATCTTAATTATACGTTATGAGGAAAAAAGGCTGCTCAACTAATACTTAATTAACAGTCATATTCCTGCTATCTGTGTGAATGTCAACTGTGAAATAAGAGCCAGACACACGCCCTCCAGCTAAGAACAGCTATTTACTTTCTGCCACTTAAGAAATTCAGATTCAACAAAGTAGCTTCCCAGGCACCTAAGCCTTATGAACAAACTTCTTCTTATTCTACCTTTCCTGTTCCTTATTCCCTCTCAGATGGCTTGATGCTGAGAGGTAACAGCTCATGGCTTCCTAGTGAGAACTGCCTCTCATCAAATGACTACTATAAGACGAGGAATATTCCAGATACCGTTATCCCTATTCTTTTTCACTCCTCAAATGCATCCTCAGAAGTAGTAGTTGTTTTGAAATTTGGGAAGACTGAGGCTCAGAGGGAGCATACAAATGGCCCCAGGTGACACCAGGCATAGCTGGGGGAATAGATCAAGGAGTCAGCCCTCTGGGACCCCCCCAACCCCCAGTGTTGTGACCCCAGGCAGTGCCAGGACTGGATCACCCTGCTTTCTATCATTGAGGGGGTTCAGGGGGAACTACCCTAGAAATTAAATCTGGGGCAGTTCCCCTGTGAAGTGAGTTGATCTCATTGGCTTCCTTGGCTGGTTTCTGTTATTCCCTGATACCCCAGGAGTCCACATCACATTCCTCTGAGGTTGGTTCTTGTTGTCCAGTCACTGACTCGTGTCTGCTTTCATCAGACTTTGCAGCTTTAAATGGCATCACCCAGATTTCCTTGAGAAAGGTCAAACCAGAGACTCACCCACCATTTTCACACCCATATCATGTGCTGAGAGTGCGATTCAGCACACGGAGCCCATGCCAAGCCTTTCGAGCCGTGTTCAGGTTTAACTGCTATAAAAATCCAGGCTGTTTAAAATCCTGGGTGTAAGAAATCCACACAGTCGTTTTCTTTGGGCTCGGGGGTGAAGTACATCTTTATTTTCCTATTCTGGTCTTCCTGATCGATAGCTTCACTTCCCCCACCAGAGCTTCAGCTACAAAATTTACTTTAATTCCTGCTCAAAGTCATCTACTGGTTCTCCCTTTAAGCCTTTCCAGATGCTGTTTCTCAGCTCTGCAAACTCTTGTCTCCATGCCCTAAAGTCTTTCTCCCATCCCATGAGGCTAATACCTCCAACTCCTCAGTCAAATTTAGTTGAAACAGCACTTTTCTACGTGACCTTTCCTTATTCTCTGACCTCCATCACGCCATAGCAACTTCCACTCTTCCGATGATATTCATCCTCCTTCTTGGAGCTTTGTCAGACTTGCTGTTTTCCACACTGGACGGCAATCTCTGTAGGGCAGGGCCACAGAATATTTTTAGCACTGTGCACTGTGTTTGACACTTAGGCACTCAGTGAATATTTTTTGGCATCATAAATAAATGAGATTCGTGAAGCATTTACATGACCCAAGGGCATTTTGAGAAAAGGGGGTGGAGAGTGAGGATGCTTTGATGGAGAATAACTTTCTAGCAAAAGGATTCCACTTCTATTCTTAAAACAGATACAGGGTAAAGTGCAGTTTGGGATTTGCTAGAAGCCTCTGTGATTCCAAAGAGGTCCTGCAGCTTCTCTCATTTTGTCAGGACATTAGTAAGGGCTATAGGATTAGATTCTTTGGAATCATGACCTCTGCCTGAAAATCAGGGTCAGTAGATTAAGACAACCAGCCTGGGGCAGAAATGCTGAAAGAGAAATCAGAGATTTCTCAGGTAAATTCCATCTCCTCCAGCACTGCCCCTGGACCCTGCTTTTCACCAGGCACCTGCAGACTGAAGTTTGGCATCAAAATTTCCTCTCTGGTGAAGGAGAAGCAAAGTCCTGTGTAACTGTTTTCCTTCAGGCATGTCTCTATGAAATAGTGACAAGTTCTTAGGATATTACTACTTTTTTTGTTAAAACTATCTTATACTTTTAGGTTTGTAGATTACTCCTTTTTTTGGCGAGAATTTTTTTTTTAAATCTTCTCAGAATTCTTAATTAAAATCTTGCTTAGTTTCTTGGGAAATATGTTGTGGATTTTATTTATACCCAAGACAGATCCCAAAGTAAATGTATGTTATATAACCAACATAATGTTAGTGAGATTATTGAATGTTTCTATACAGAGAGCACACCTTCATTTACTTACTGGTGTGTGTGTGTGTGTTTTGCTTTATCCAGGAGCATAAGTGGGCTATTAAAATATTATCGGCCAATGTTATTTCAATAAAACAAGAAGAAGAAAAAAGGGAATCTTTATCCATTGCCTTGTGGAAGACAAGATGCAATGCCACTTTTAAAAATTGGATATTCTTTTTCTGTAAACCTTTTAAAGATGTTTATTAAAAAAATTACTCAACCTCACTGAGCCATCTGTGTTGATAGCTCTGCTCAGCATAGATAGAATCAAATTAACCACTCCATTGTTCTTAAAAGCAAAAAAAAAAAAAAAAAAAAAAGCAAAGCAAAACAAAAAAACAACCTTCCAAACAAAAAAACCAAACACCAAAAACAAGAGAAGTCCCCCAAAAACAAAACACAAAACTGCGTTGAGGGGCATAGACGTTATGTTGGTATGTTTTCAGAGGCCTTCCCCAAGC